ATACAAGGTCGGTATTTCGAAATTGACTGATAATTCTTCCCGCCATATTCTTTAAAATTCTTCGCACATTTATAACTTGTAATCTGAAAGTGACGTTATATCAACTAATGCGTAGTCTGGGACCGGGAGAGGTGTCAGAACTGTTTTATATCTCGGGGACGGGAAATCCACTGATAACATTACATTGTTTTTCGTCTTTAGAGGTTCTTTTTTTCGTGTTTCCCAAATTTAAATGATAACGGTAGGATTTGTGGTGAAGAAGAATGCACGCAACTATCGAAACCAAAATTCTGTACCGACGTCATACTTGTTTGTCCCATCAAGCAGGTTAATGTTGCGTTAACTCTATAGTTATTGGCGAGAGGTATGAATCCAGCTAGGTTACTGGCTGTCCTGATTAAGTTTATCGTGGTTTATTTCAGTCTTTTGGGGTTATTTCCAAAATGTAAAAACAAAACTTTGTCTGTAAATTTTCTACGGAACGCCTTTCCAATATACGTAATTCCGTTCTCCTTTTGTCATTGTACTTTGTAATCACCAGTATTTTAAATAGTAGTTACTATGAACTGAGTTCGCCGAAGGATTATTTTTTATCATATTGTCATTCCGTTCAAAATTTCATATTAATCTTCGCCTTCCTGCACATAAATTAGTCACCAACTATTTTGTCGTTCAATAAGTTCGGCTTTAGAAACACTATAGTTACATAACCTAAAAACTAGAAGCTATGCCCTATACAGGGCGTAGTAGAGAGGGTCTGTCACCACACGCCGTGCCCTTCGGCCATATTGTCAGCAGACGTAAAAAAAGAGGTAGCGATATGAAAAAAATAATATTTGCGTTATTTCATTCGAACCCAATTCCTTTCATCCGGTAAGTTTAATACCGCCTGGCTAAAACATAGGGTTTATTTTAATCATCGTTAGTAACTGTACTTACACGACCTTACTGGCTGCCTGTTTTATTTTTATCTGCTTGCCTTACTGATCTTATCTTTGAACATCTGTTTCTGTCAGGAGGACGGAATAGAAGGTTGTAAACCCGACACAGTTTACATGAAGTACGTTCATCATGTAGCTCCGTTAAAATGTACTACCAACTGACTGCAGGATAGTTGTCATTTTTTTAAGCATGGATGAGGAGTTTAAAAATTTATCCTTGTCATTTATTATTGTTAAAGTGGTTAAGTCAAGGGGGGTCCAATAGGTATCACGCATGAGGATATACGAACTGCATACAAGAAGAGTTTATGAGACTGCTCTTTGCGCAGTGTTTTCAATCCAACAACGTCTTACCTCTTATGACCAAATATCTTTCTCTGCACTTCGTTCTCAGACTTCACCTATGTTATGTTCTTAAAGTGATAAACCGAGTTTCACACATATACAAAACAGCGAGTACAATTATACTTTTTGAATTGAATGGTGGCTGTCTTCTTGGTTGTTGATGGAGGCAGCAAGGACCTCTGAAACGTCGGTAAACTTCTACCCGACTACACGACACAACAACCCAGAAGACAGCCAGCAATCTTCAGACACCGTCGTGAAAACCTCAAATTCTACGAGTGACAAGCAGTCGTCGAATTTAATATGATCTCAACTTTCTCGTAAAAGTAATTTTGATTTGTTTCAGTCGAACCAAAACATTTTAAATTTCCCGCATTTTCCGAACGATTATTGACGAGAAACTAGTAAACATAAGTGTTAATATTTACAAGATGTTCGTAACAAAGAAACAATGCACCAACCGAAGTATTAACTTTTTCCCATCCTTAATACTGAACTTTTTGTTAATTGAATTCATAACATGCAGATTTGTTGAATAAATTATAAATTTTGTTATCGTGCTTGTAAAAATTGATGTCTTCTGGGTTGTTGCGTTGTGTGATCTGGTAGAAGTTTACCGACGTTTCAGAGGTCCTTGTTGCCTGCATCTTCGACTACTTAGATTATTCAAGTTATTTCGAGTGAAATGTTTGTGAATGATGATAGGGTACGGATTTGAAAGTAAGTGGACATAACTTTTTGAATATACTATACCTGTATTTGTGCGGAGAGACTGAAGAAAACAAATAGAAACCTTTACCAAGATGGTCGTCATTGCCTGGCCGAGATTCGAACCGGATAATCTCCACCCCTCCCCCCGAACATGACACTACCAGTAAATTATTTTAATAGCGAAAAAAGGTGCCAAAGAATTGAACGCTACGAGAGTGTGATTGGTTGATGGCATCTTGCACCTTAATGCCTGCGAAGCATTAGTCAATTTAACGCCGAATAACACTGTTTATTTCTAATATCTCTGTAGTTCAATTGCCACGTTGTGATCCATCACGAATGACACAAACTGTATTTCAGTTTACTTGGTTTAGAAATGTTTATACAGGCGAATCCAAACATCGAAATGGTCTTATAAAAACATCCAATTACGCTGTGACTATTGAATCAGAAGTGCATTAGCTGCGAACAGCAAAATCTGGCGCTTGAATACGTCTCCTTAATTCAAAGAATATAAGTTTTTGATACTTTTAAATTTTAATGCAGTCGCTTAAGGCTGCTGTGATTTCTGTAATTACAAACTGTGGTTTACGAATGACGTTATTGTGGTTATTGGTGACGTCAATCAGATGTCGCCTCCACGCATGAGGATGATATTCCAGCATTTATTTATGTAACGATTTAAAGATAACGACTATAATTTCGGTATTTATTCATATTATAATTTAACAATAACAAGACGAAATTTGTATGGTAATTATTAAATGTGTTGTTATCGATTTGACATAATTGTTTTCATTGCATTGGACGGAAACTAAGAGGACACTTAAAGCGTCCCTACCGAGATTCGAACTGCGGTCCTTAGTATGTTACTGCGTGAAGAACAGTTTCAGAATTTAATTATTAACCATCATTTTCCATGCAAATTCCATCTGTATGCACGATGTATATAAACAATTAATACTTTATCAGATTCCTGATTTATTATTAATATCACTTTCATATTAACTGCTCTATGGAGTATTCATCCCCAAGGGAAATATAGTATATCTGTGTGTAGTAAATTGGAACCTGCTCAAACTGTGTATTTGAAAACAAATTTGTGTTTTGTAACTTTAACCTTACACACTCGAGATAATTATTACTAAGAACACAGCACATATTTCGGCATCTGTGTAGCTTTCTTCATAACTCTTTTTTAAAGTTATTACCTCAACAAATATAAATGAATCTACTTTCATCGATCAATTAATTGTGTTTTATTGTATAAGTAAAATCATATCAAGTGCTTAATACTTGTACTGAACACTACTCCTTTAATTCTGTGGATGGGAAAAATAAAGGGTTATTGACTAATAAAACAGGCGGTACATATAATTACCACTGGGTTTTAAAGGGTTGAACAATTACGAGGACCGAGGATTTGGAACGGACGAGAAGGGATTAAGGTGTTTTGGACATACACCTCATTCATCCACCCTTCCCTTAATTCATCTGTCATGTACTATACATATTAATCCATCATCCAAATGAGTCGAGGGCCTCTGAACAACCACCGAAGCTGGCTGAAGATTCGTTTTATATGATCCGTTTTGCTGTGTTCTGATGTATAGAGTACCACTGAACCATGTAAGACTTGTTATTTTTCGTTTTCCAAAGTGTTACTTGGGGTAACACGGTTGAAATGAACGTTCCGTCCTGATGGGTTTTATATGATTTTCAAATAAACTGATTATTTCCTTAAACAGCATTATTAAGTATTGTTTAGACTAGCCTTGGCTTCAAAGTTTTAACATACGTCAGCCTCAGTGGATGTAGCCTCGTAAAAAATAACTTATCTATTAATAATGGATGGTCAGATGCCAGCAGGGCCAGATGTAAGTCGATTTTTGAAAATGAAATAAAAATAACAAGGCTTAAGCTTTCATGTTCACTGGCGAAGTTGCAATGAATAATAATGGTTGAACTAAGATAACGTAGCAGTGATGCTTTTGATTTGAAAACTTAATCTTGTATTGATTCAAACATGACACAGAACACAACCGCAGATGAATTGCAAAAGTCAGCATTTACTAAATAATATTTACAGATAACGTACATTTTATTTCTCGATTCTTGGAGGTCATCGTCTTATATTTTGTCAAATGAAATGTGCGAAGTTTTGTCACATTCTGTGCAGATTATAAATATTGATCGTTCTTCAGTAGTGTTCTTCACAGTTCGTTCTCCGTTCTGCTGTAAAAAATATTGTTATTCTGAGTAGTTTGTCACCATTAGACTAGAAATGGTTATAATGTTGCTTTTATATGAAGGATTCTCTACAAAATCCTATCCTTCGTGATTTGATATACGTCTGGTAAACATACTATCAGAATAATTTTGATTCACAAATATCGAAGTGCTTCATTTTTCATTTACATCAACAAACATAATCATTCGGATAATCTGTCGTTAGAATCGTTGCACTTCAACACTATTGTTCTTCCGAGACATGTGTGAATCGACTAATATTGTACCTATAATAGTACAATACGCATAGCAGCAACAGTGCTGCAGCGATTTTAATGTGCAGACAGGTAACTTTCAAATTTTCGTTAACGATTCTGCACCATGGAATTTCATACGTAGGGCGAAGCCATTCAAAAGTGACGCTGTTGCCGTCAGAGCTGTAAAACACAAAAAGAACAATACATCTGCATACGACCAACAATCAACCTTTTCAACTGATTTAGAATAATTGAGACAATAATGAAACCCAGTCCGAGACAATGTGATGACAAAAGGGACAATTCTGTATCCAGGACGGTCTTCAACTAAATTCCGGTAGCTATGTATTTCGTGCTCCACTCTGTATTCTGTTTCGAGTTGGAATTTCTGATAGCGGGCGAGCAGAATTTGCGAGCGAAACATCGATACCTCCGTCAGCTGCTCTTGATCCGTGGACTGTCTGCTGGTCGTGCGCTTTCAGTACCCCAGCTTCTGCATGCTGTGCTGTTTCGTGTGGTTGCAGCGTCCGCGATTATTTACATTCGAGTTTGTGTAACAACCACTGACGTAAAGAATCGATATTTTATTCGTAGTTGTGTGTGAATTCGAACAAATGGTTTCATTTCAACTCAGTTTATCATATCGGCAGTTTTAACCGTTCAGAGTGTTACAAGGCTTGTGAAGGTTGTAGGAATTATGAATACTGGTAAAGAAATTTTGATTCGTTTCTAGGTTTTCGTAGTAATAAAGGAAAGCACACAATGTGATGTAGTTTAGTAGCTTGGATCCACTGGAGAGGCCATTAACTGTGGAATTAAATAGTCGAGTTCACGATCGAATATAAAGGTCATGTGACCGTGTTGGGCTTATTCGTTTATAAACGGGTTAATGGTGGTGTTGGAATTAGTGTGATTTGAGAGCTGCCTATGTAAATACTGATTTTCGTATTTTTGAAAACATAACCTTACATTTTAGTGCCGATGTCATTTCTGTTCTTAAAAAAATTAATAGTAAACACGCTTTTATGACCGCATTTTAAGTGTCGCAAAAAAAATGTGGAATGCAGTCACCCCTACATCAAATTTAATCCAACACGAAATTTAAAACTGTCTAGTAATGTTTCGCTGAATGGAAACATAATATTTTTGTGTACCTTGCTCCCAGCCATGGTTAATCAGTTATGTTCGTCAAAATATTTATTCGCTTTAGTGACGATTGTAGCAAAACAAAAATTACATGAAATATCTGTATTTCCTGAATTGTCGATGTTTGTCTAAAACAGTCGTTTAATAAGACATGTTTTTATTTTAAACTAAGGTGGGAATTATATTTTGAGCTTCTTCCTTCAAAAGTGTTTCACTATGATTTACAGAAATCCATAATATGAATTGTATCAAAATCCATTTATACCTGACAAGTATATGAACACTGTGTGGATCTGGCAAAGTTTGGCACATAGTTATGACTTTTTCAGAGGTCTACAAATGTGGCAATTGAGTGCCTTGGCCCTAGGATACTGAATACCTGTGAAAATGAGGAAAAAGTTAGGCTATTGAAATGAGTATTGGTGACCTGTAATGTAGGTAGATAGGTTAAATGTATTAAATAGAAAAAAATATTTGTGAAATAGTTCGTGAAATTGTATACTGTGCCTGCAATGGAAATGCATAACCACCAGAAGAGTTGTGAATAGCACATTTGTAGTGGGTAAACAGAACCTTTTGGGAATTTTAAGACAGCAAGTACCATAAGTGTTTTATTCTGGTGGATGCCTTATTGAACTACTGTATTTTTGACATATTACAGTGGTTGTTCTTATTATGATTGGTCCCATTGATAATATTATGTTAGATTGTTAGGTTAGGTTTAGTTAAATTGAATTCATGTTTGAATCATTTGATAATATTAATGGACACACCTTCAGTGATAGTTGACAGTTATCTCTGAAGTCAACAGCCTATTCTGTACTTCAACAAAGAGAACTGTGTGCAGTAAATCTTAAATGCAGTGTGCTTTGCAAAACTAAATCTAATGAAAATTTATGATTTGAGGTTTTAACAGCTGTGAGTCTGTTGTTGGCTATATTTTTGGTTGTTGCACTGTATAGTCTGGTAGAAGTTTTCCGTTTCCAGAGGTCCTTGCTGCCTCCATCATTGCTCTGATGGTGGAGGCAGCAAGGACCTATGAAACATCGGTAAACTTCTACCACACTACATGGAGCAACAACCATAAGACAGCCATCTTCTATTAAGAAATGTTGGTTTGTTGAGAATGGTACATTTAGCTTGGTGGAATAGTTGTTTATGGCTTAGTGCATTCATATTTCTGTGTCCAAGGTTTCTGTTGTTTGTCCAATGGATCTGTTATGGTTAAATATACTGGGAACGACCCATTCTTCAAGTGCCTGAGCACTGTGGGTCCCAACTTTTCGTTGGCTTGATCTGTAGACATTCGGTAGGACTCCTTGGACGAGGGATCAGCCCGTCGCGAGGCCTCTACCTGTGCACAGGACAGCACAACACAGAAAAACGCGGACAGACATCCATGGCTTGAGTGGGTTTCGAACCCACAGTCCCAGCGACCAAGCAGCACAAGGCCCACGCCTCAGACCGCACTACCACTGCAGACACGTGGTTAAATATGTATGATGAAAATAATTGTACTTTCCCATAGTTTGACTCTCCTGAGCTGGGTTTGTGGTTGAGTCTTAAGGAAAATACAGTGATTAGTATTTTGGTAGAAGGACCAGAAACTGTATGCTTTTCCATTCCTTATCTATTCAGATACTCCTCTGATGATCCATTCAATAGGCTAGCAAGTTGAGAGTTTCTATTGAAATTAAGTTTGAAAGTGATAAAATGGTGTCATTTATCCAATTATTTTCAGAACACATTCAGAATATGTATTACATGCACATGCCACATACCACATTACCATATTTGAAGGATAAAATTTAGCCTGTTGAATGTGTGTGATAAGAGATTGGTTTTCTCGTAATTTGCTGTTGTATTTGTTGCAAGTCTTAATGAAAACTGCAATAATCATGTTTGAATGCTGGGAGAAAGCAGCATTTGCCATGGGTTTTTAGAGGTATATATTTCTGATAATTTGTCTCTGTTTTTAATAATGAGATGTTCCATTTTGACTAATTATTGTTTTGGTTTATATCAGTCCTCTGTAATTATGTGAAGCCCAAATTTAATTTCATATGATTCATCATACAAAAAATAGTTACATCACATGTAAAATATATTGTACACCTTATTAAGATTTTCAGTGGCTCAGAAATTATTTAAATATTGTGGCTATTTAACAAAATACAAAATGCTTGTAATGTGATTGGCTTAGTAAGAATAGATAATATAGTATGTAGAGCAAGACCAGTTGAGTATATGAAATCATAAAATCATTGAAGTACGCAGTTCTACCCTTGTTAATTAGATGATAAACTACTAAATCAGTAATGAACATAATACACAGGTGATTTTTTATTTATTGTCAGCATTGAATGTGGCTTTCATTACAAATAAGCAGTGTTGTGTAATTTATATAAATTAAATATATATAATTAGACCAAATATGATTATGTGATATGTAGCGCATATGCTTTGTGTTAGAATGTGATGTTTGAATCAGACATGCAACCACTGCACAGTATTTGAAGCCTTAAGAAGTGAGTAAATGGATTTTGAATGCACAAGGACAGACTCTGGAGGAGTGGAGTGTGCAGTTGAGTTTTGTGAGTGTAAAATACTCTAAATACATCCATCCATGTGTATGTCCATCCGTGTATACGTTTACTGTGTTGCCTTGGCACATCATTGCGACAATTAAAATGTTTAATAGTAGATGAAGAGAATAACTGGTTATTAAAAAAAACAAATGCATGAGACTAGGGATTACCTGTAACTGAATAATTAATGGGTATGTTGTTTTTTTAATTTGGTGTATAGAAGTAATTAATAAAATATATTAAATGTGATAGAGCACTTAGCAGCACTAGGTTCAGCATGTAGACCTATGGGAGTATACAGTCACTAATATTTCCTGTAAGAAGCAAGAGGTATATTTTTATATACCAGTTTTTGTAATTTAGTTTTTTTTATAGAATTTGGTGAATAACTAACTGTTTAATAACATATAGAAACATTAATTTGTCACTTGGTGCAAGTAATTATTTTCGTATCATCATGCCTGTGCATGTTACTTAAGGATAGAATTCAAATTTAAGCAGCTCTAATAGCATAACTACATCATATATAATTCCTAAATGTCTTTCTCATTGTACCAGCCAGCACAAAATCTGTATGGCATTTAAAAGCTTGCTTGATGAACGGTTAAGTAGAAAGATAAATCAATTTTGAATTTTTGAAGTTAAAAGAGTATTTTTGGAATGGTTTAATGTAAAAGTGCATTCTCACTCTTGTGAATTAATTTAACAATGAATCAGTGAAGCTGATAAAGTGCGTGTCACATTTCTGTCAAACCTTAAAAGCTGATATATCACATGCTTTTTTGTAATGAAAATAATTGTGGAAGCATTTATATTTCAACCATTTTTTCACTGTCGATATCAGTGTATAATTTTTACTGAAAGATTCCTGGAAAAGAAAGTTCTTTGTTTTAAAATTGGTTCTGCCTGATGCTCCTTTCAGGACTTTAAATTAATAACACTGTATCAAGAAATTACTTAAAATACAAAGAACATATACTGTAATTATTTTCCTGGAAGTTTCTTTTGAAAGAATTATTTCTTCACACAAATTTCTTCATGATTTTACAATTTATTAGGAAATGTGAGCTCTCATTCAGCTTAGAACTCTCAATCTGTATTTGTCAAAGAAATGTATAATAAAACAGACAAAACTTTAATTTTGACCATTGTTATATGTGAAGCTTTCTTAGGGTCATATTAATGGCAGACTCTGGTTAAAATTCATTCTTAGGTAATTTAGTGATCTCTTTCAAGCGCATTGCACATACAGGGTCTGATGAGATGGGAAGAGGGTTAGTTAAGGTTTTGAAGGTGATTGAGGCATATTCTAAAGATATTGTTCTAGTATTCACTGGAGAGATGGGAAAATGATGATAATCATCATAACATCATACTTATTAACCCATTTCTTCCTCAGACTACACATAATATAAATTTGGTGTATACAGAAAGTCATGCAACAGTATGTCTGTGGCTTAACCACATGCTCTTGGGATTGTTTTGAGTCAAGTTCAAATAAACATGTATATCCTGAATACAAGTCCAGAGTGTTATCACTACACCAGCATGCTCAGTGCATGTTTTGACATTAGTGTTGTTGAACCTTAACTGTAGTAACAGGAAGTTTGTTAGTTGTCTCAGTAGTAGATGATTATAAAGTGTGGGTATAGTTTCAGTGGTTGATATATTCTTACTAGGAAGATATCTGTATGATACAGAAGTAAAAACAAACCATAGAAAATATATTATTGCTTCTTATGAACTGGAAATTGTTGATTCCTTTTGAGATCTTCTTCTATGGCACTCCGGTCTGTATTCGGTCCACGGCCTCCTCAATTCTCTTCCATTCGGTCCTCTGTTAGGTCCGTCTATCCGAGGCTTTGATCGAGGTTATGAAACATCCAATGTGAAATTCTGGGACCTGTTAGCTATTATTTACTTTTTGATAACACTTTCAGTGAGCGGGACTGTCTGTATCTGTAGGTGTATGCTATCCAGTTGCAGTGTTGCGACAGTAGGCAGTTAGGTACATGCTGACTGTCTTCAAATGAAAAAGTATTTTGTGGTGTGTGTGTGTTTCAAGAAAAGTTTTGGAAGTGATGCTGAAACTTTACAAAGTGTGTCCAGTTAGAAATTATTAAACTTTAAAAAGTGGAACTAGTTAGTCAGTTTTGAACTTTAGAAAGTGTGTTCCATTAGCCATGTCTTTCTCACAAGCTGCAGAAAAAATTGAACTTGAAAACACTCCTCTTCAAGAAGCACAACAACGTATAGCTCATGAAAGTAAGCTGTATTTCAGATTCTAGTGGTAGTAATGCATTATTTTATTTTCTGTTGACATTCAAATTGTAAATATTAAAACTTATTTTATTTTTAAAAATGTTTAGCATTGTTGTCCATTTTAATTGAAAATGTGGTTTCACTGTATGCTGGATGTGCAGTAGATGTTTGCAGTGAAGTTCCACTTTGTTTTAGTTTTATATTAGCAGTAAGAATGAGAACATATCTTTTAGGGTAAAATGACACTTTTTACTCATTACAGTTACTTTATGCATGATTCTGAAATTTTGTTTGTGATTTGTTGAATACATTAAAAGATTATAATATAAACAAGTAGTTTAGGAACTGTGCACTGTAATTGAACCTGATGCTGAAAGAATAATGCATGGATGTAGGTTCAGTTCTCTGTCTACATATTTCTCTTTACCCCATGGAAATTTTGAGTCATGTTTTTATATCCGTAGTGCGTAAATATTTGATTTCTTCTAACATTTGTTTAAATGTGAATAGTTTAATTATATTTTTAACTTACTGTGTTAGTCAATCATATATCTGTTTTCAGTTAGTTGAGAATAGAAAATATAAATGCTTACTTATGCATTACAGTTATGTTGTGTTAATGTTGATCTTCTGTATGTACTTATATGTGGATACCAATGTTTTAGAAGAATATATGGTATCCATTTTCTGAGATGTTTGTATTTCTCACCCAGAAAATCAACATTTACATCTTTAGGGCTATGTGAACCACCCTGTCATACGACATTGTCTTTATATGTAAATCTGGTAAAAACCTTTTAGAATATCACAAGTACTTATCTTACATAAGAATTATTACATTACATTATATTTCATTACATTATGTTTCATTATTGGCCTTTTTGGCTGTTGTCAAGCACTTTAATAAATGAATTGAATTACATTACATTATGTTTCATTACATTACATTTCATTTCATTTCTTACATTAAATTTAATTTCATTACATTACATTACAGAAACGTAAATATAATTTAAATACAGAGACGTATTTACGTCAGATTCTCTGGAACCGTGGTTCCACTGTCACTTTTTCTTAGTTATTTTCGAGTAATGGTTGCTGATATTTAGGTGGGGGAAACTGTATCAGGTGTGCCACTGTTCCTTTTGTATTCTGTATAACCTAAAACCCAACTAGTTAAAAAGAGGCAGAGAGGACTTTCGGAACTTAAAATTTCAGTCACTATATTGGTACAATAAAAAATTGTGTTTGTGAAATTAAATATTACTTTATTTGATAATGCAGTGAATGATTCTGTTTAAAAATGTGACATATTTGGTTTAATATTTCTCTTATATGGAAGTAAGCATGTTTTTAATATAAAGGTGACATTTGGCAAAATTACTAACTTAAGCTTGAAATATTCTTAAGTTTACCATCTTCTGTCATTGTAGGCAGCATATACAGCAGTAGGGCTGCATGGAGTGATGTGCTTTATTCTTTGAGATTTGGGTATTGTTGTTTGAATTCTAACCTGTTTTTTAATTATTGTTTCAGCTGAACCAGAGCCAATGGGCTGCATTGAATTTATTGCAACTGCAGCCTCAATCTTACTGTTTATTGTGACCTTCCCCATCTCACTGTGCCTCAGTTTCAAGGTAAGAATGCAGTTCTAACATGCATTTACTATAGAAACATAGACTGAAATACCCAGACCTTGTTTTGTTTACAAATATACCTGTAATTTATCAGGAATAAATTAGCTTTTGATTCTGATTTCATATTATCTGGGTTGAAGAATGGAATAACATCTGAAACCAGGATGTGAGGCAAGATTAGAAGGTAGAAACAGTTCAAGAAACGTAGGTGAAATTATGGATACAGTGGTATTCATGTACGTTAAAGGTGGATGATAGGATTCCTGCAGGATATTCATAATTAAAGATGGAATTTACAGGGTGAAATGAGGATTAACTGGAGAGATCAAATAATGGAATCTACATATGCAGGGTACTTGTGGGGGAGTGTAAGAGAACCCTTCCTGATGCAAATGTTATTAACTGTTTGAAGTTGAAGCTTATTTAAATAATAATTAAGAATGCAGTTCATACTGCAAAGAAATAATGACTTTTTACTTCGAGAATTATATTAAAAATTAAATCTGTGTCGTAACAGCCCTCTGAGAGCCAAAGCCGACTAGCTGGCTGCTGGTCTCACGTTCACACGCCTAAGCAGAGGTGAACGATCATCCAGCCAGATATAGGGCGACGTGTGGTCAGCACGACGAACCCCCAGCCATTGCTAGCTTTCCTGACTAGATTACGCTACTCATTGTAGCTCCCCAATTTCCTCACGATGCTGGGTTGGCACCGGTCGAAAGCTCATGAGAAAATTTCTTCTCCCCCGAGACTCGAACCAGCGCGCATTCCGTATCTCTGGTCCGAAGCATGATATAAAATGAATACTTGATTGTTGAAGCAGGTGGGACATATGGGCTTTTAATGGTAAATAAAATAAGAAACAAACTACAAATATAATTGTGAAATGTGAGGTTCTCACAGTGGTGAAGCTGTTAATGGTCTTCTGGGTTGTAATACCGTGTGGACTTGAAAGTAGATGCCAGCATTTCAGATAAACATGTTGTCTCCATCTTCAGGGCTGAAGTCATAAAGTTCAAACTGGAGAAATGTAGACAGAATGTAGTTGGTCATTTTGTGACAGGAGGAAGCAGAAGAAGAAACTATAAGTGAACTTTGTGTGCGTTGTCATGCAGTATCATTGAGGAACTGAACTGGAGCACTTGTGTAAAACACAGTATGCTTATACAGAATGTCATTGCCTTAGCAGCATATAAACACTTCTCACCATCATCACACAATGAACACATCAGCCACACTGGTGTTTATATATATATATATATACACACACACACACACACACACACACAAAACTGTAAAATAAATAAACCTCACTTTGATTATAATAAAGCAGTCTTGTACAACTCATGTTGTCTCTGCATGTATAGGTCTTGTTAAATTATTTGATATTTTTTAATTTATTTTGATCCTTCCTGAATTTAGATCTCAGCTTAGAGTTCAGCTGTCTTAATTGAGAATCTTTATTAGGTTTCTTCAATGCTGCCAGGCAAAAGCTTTGATGTTGAATCTGGTGGTATTGTAGTAATGTATTGGCCTTTTGTGCTGAAGGCCTTGGAGGATTTGAGACTGGCTGGATATAGTGTCAATTTTTCCACGTTTTCCCTTCAACTTCCTACTCAAATTCTTCCAAGCACATATTCTTTTAATGCAGAGACTGGCCTATAGTAAAAACAGTAACAATCATAATCAGGGTTTTCAGCATTTGTCTATTACAAATGAATTGTAAAGGAATAAAGATGAACAGAGAAGAGAATATGCAGAATAACCGTGTATGTTTAACTGTTTCTAATGAAGCTTATTCATGTGAGATTAACATGTCGAAGTCATGACAGTTACACATAACATAACTTACTGAGCAGGTTGGCTTTAGACTTGTATTTTGGAGGTACCCAGTTTGAGGTTTGGGTGGGCAACTAGCTATTCTGACTGGTTTTATTTGTTTTGCCAGGCAGGTAGTGAGAAACAATATTTTCGTCCTTCTAGATATTTTGCTAAATATATATTTTTAGTGAGGTTATAATTTACACACACACAATATAATCCCTTTCATTCATCAAGAAAGTTCTTTTGTGTTTTGTTACCAGGTTGTGCAGGAATATGAACGAGCGGTAATATTTCGACTGGGACGACTGCGTAAGGGCGGGGCACGTGGACCTGGTATCTTTTTCATTCTGCCATGCATCGACACGTATTGCAAGGTGGATCTACGAACTGTTTCCTTTGATGTTCCACCTCAGGAGGTATGTCCATGTCTAAAATTGTAAGATAACTTAGTAGTGAAAGTGTGCAGCATTGTGAAAATGGCAGGCAACTATGACATGATGCCAGTGTTTATATTCCAAAAATATGGTAAACTAAATTAGTTCTCTTGTAGCTTTTGTAGACATCCAGGATTAGAATAGTTTCCATTGTTCACTAATCCACCACATTACCACTTTGACAGTATAGTACAGTATTGTTTGATAGTGTTTTATCATAATGCAGTATTTATACATTGGTTACCGGTGTATAAAATTCTCATGTGTTCCTGTTTATGAAAGAACTGCTCTATTTGTTATTAAATATTAAATACATTTGCCCACTTGAGTTAATGGAGTTTTTTAAAGAGTATGAAGATATTTGTATGAAATGTACATTGTTACTTTGGGTGAGTGAATTTTGGCAAGTGGATAAATAGATTTCAATATTCTGTTATGTAATGAATACTGAAATTGTTGTATTATTATTATTATAATTATATTATGTTATTGATTAATACAAATATTACAGGTACTTTGCCAAGTTTGTTATCGTTAAATAGAATGTCACAAAGAAAAATGAATATGGTAATCATGAAAAGATTTAATCTCACGTTGGGTATTACTGTGATGTACATGCAAGAGTAAGTTTGTTAATTTATTTTATTTGGAATGGAACACTGACCTGGCATTTGTGGTTGTTTAAGAATTCTCTTCTGACCTCTTTGAAAATACAATGTATTTCCTTTATAAAGATTAGTTTGGTTAATCCAATTTAAGGAAACAGTCGCTGTTTAGTCTGAGAATTATACAAAATCCATATATATTTCCTGTCTGTGGGCAAAATGAGGGTTGCTAATTGCTAAAGTAGGTGGTACATATAGTTACCAGTGGGTTTTAAAGATATAACTGGGGACTCAGAACAGTCCTTACTTTATGCAGAAAATGCACATCCTTTTGTGAAAGACATACTGTATAATGACTGATTCTAACCTTTGTTTAGTAACATTTTCAATTTTATGAACTGTTACAATTCAATTTAGTTGAACATCATGCCCTGAAGACCATGTGGAGGTCATATTTTTAAATTGCTCCTGTAACCATTATTGTTATGGCTTCAGGAGCAGACTTTGATTCAATCTTGTACTGAGGACTCTCATTAATGTAGGATCATGCTTTGGACTTTGATGGGTGTGGTCTTTCACTATATTTTTCTTAGATATTCCTTATATAAAAAAATCAGACCACAATTATAGAACATTCTGATTTTTTTTATTAATGAAGTAATTCTTTTATACGTGCATGGTGTTGGTAACATTTACTTTATTGCTTCTTCATTTAAAATCACTGTATCCTCATTCTAATCGACCCTTAGAAGTTGTTTATACTTTTAACATAATGACCAAGTCAGGGGATGTCAGTTTTACTATATTCATCTGCATTCAACATTGCAGAAGGTTAATTGTTGAAATGTGTAATTCCTAGAATCCAAGTGGAATTCATCATTTAGAAGCCATCACTGTGTTCAGAAATCCTGTTCTCAATAAAGTCTGTTATTTTCAATGGCTGAAATTGCTGATGTTACGAATGTTTTCTTTAAATCTTCATGCTTATGCAGCAGCATTTACATCCTCTTTGAATTCAAACATAGTGAAAATTTTCCAAATTATTTTACTGGTTTATCCCTAGAAATGTGCTTTAAGTGTACTGGTTTGCTACAAGTGATGCAGTAATGTGCTAATACCTGTTCTTTCTATGTTGTAACTTTTCTTAGGGTGACCATACTAATTAGGACAAAACTCATGGCATTTTATGCTACAAGATGGAAGATCAGTAAGGTTACCATCACCCTTGCTGCTTCTAGGTCTGGTTGGCCTGTTATTAATTTATTTATAGTTTATTTAATGACACTTTTTCAGTAGCTGAGATTTTATAGTGTCAGATGAGAGGATGGTAGTGAATAAAGAATTGGAAAGGATGTGAAAGGAAGTGGTCATGACCTCATTTAAGGTACTATCCCGACTTTTGCCTGGAAGGACTAAGGAAAACCACAGAAAACCTCAGTCAGGATAGCCAGTCTCTGGGCTGAGATTTGAACTTGGAACTTCCGAATACGAAGCAGG